TGTTTAACCCATCCGAGACATTCCCTGCTCAGCCCTGATTATGTGAGCAGAATACTCTGTTCCAGGCTGGAATTCTCCAGCTGTTTAACCCATCCACCGTTCCAGGCTGGAATTCTCCAGCTGTTTAACCCCTCCGCTGTTCCAGGCTGGAATTCTCCAGCTGTTTAACCCCTCTGCCGTTCCAGGCTGGAATTCTCCAGCTGTTTAATCAGTTACCTTCACGTGGGCAGCTTTTATTTTTCCTCCCTCTCTGATTTGTGGTAGGCCCTGTTTTGTCTGGGAGTTCTTTAATTGTCTTAGGGCAGCTGATCCTTGGATTATTAAGGGATGGGAATTTTATGAGAATTAACTGCCAGTGAGTCTGCATTGATCAAAGGTTTAAATCAAGCTGTTGCCATCAACTGCAGGCCTTTGCAGTGGTTTGTTGAGGGGTCTGCCCTTTAAATGCAGCCAGGAGGGGGTTTTGTGTGCACTCAAGTGGATGTGGGAAAACACTGAGGATTGTTGTCATGACATATTTGTGACATCCAGCCCATCAGCTCTTCCAGTATCTCATATTCCAGCTCTCATTCTCATTTTTTGTCCTGTAAGTGCATATCTAAATGAATTGTTTGTTTTTTTTAATCAAACAAGCAGAATTCCTGTATAGACTCAGGATCAGTGTTAGTGTTCCTTTCCCTTGGAGCTTTAGCAGAGGCTCTAAAAGAAGCTTTAACAGTTTTACAGTGACCGGTGTGAACGAACTGTGGTGATTTGTGAGCAGCAGTAGTTCTGACAGGGTTGGTATTGCCAAGGAAAAGGATGTGCTGCGTTCAACTGCAGTTATTTAAGCTCTTCTGTAGCTCAGAATATCTAAATATTTAAAGTGGTCTCAGCCTTTGTGGAAAGGCTGATTTTCAGATGGGATATTCAACGCCAAGCTGGAATTGTTGGGCATAAACTTCTCTTTAGAAAAATAAATCATTATTGAGGGATTATCAGATTTAAGCAGTTTGGTTTTTGTTTTTTTTTCCTGACGTGATACAGCAGAGCTGAGGGATTCAGGTGCTCACGTGTGAGAGAGGAGCAAGTTTTTGTTCTGCACAGACATGAGGGGGAGCTGTGTGAAGGGAGGAGAGAGGGCGGCCGGGATGGCTCCTTTGATTCCAGGATCCATCTCTGGGATGAGGGATTGAAAATCCCCTGGGAAAGGGAGCTGCTGTGGTGTGAGTGAGCAAACCCAGGATTCCTGGGCTGCAGAAAGTGCTGCTGGTAATCACAGCTTGTCTGAACAGCAACAGGACAGTAGAAATTACTGTTTGCTTCCTTGCTTTTTATTTTGAGGAGCGGGAAAACTGTGTCACTTTTCTGCTTGAGAGAGGCATTAAGAATAAAGGAATGAACTTGATGTGAGAAGATACTCCAGTAAGATAAAGATTTTGGCCTAGGGTAGATTAAAGGAAATAAGGGAGGGAAGAGTTTTTTCTCCTGAAAGAGTAAAAGCACAAAGTTCAAATGGTGAGAAATACAGAATTGCTGACCAGAAACAATTCTGTTCTGAGAAATCCTGACAGCAACAGGCCTACGTTTGAAAATCCACCCTGCTTCTAGCACTGGAGCTGTGTTTATCAGGGTGGGAGCTTCAGGATCTCATCTGGATTTTCCGGGGTGCCAACCATCACACCTTATTCTCTTGCTGCTGAGTATCAGTTTTTCTGCTTTCCTTTAAACTGTCTGCAAATAGAAGCTGAAGTAGCCAGTGACTTGGGCTGACACTGTAATTCAGACCTGTAAGGTGCCCCTGGTGAGATGTATCAATGGCTGTGTTGCAGGTTGTGGGAAACTGGCTGGAAGCAGCGCTACTACAAGAACAAATTCGACGTGGACGCCTCCGACGAGAAATTCCGGCGCAAGGTCGTGCAGTCCTACGTGGAAGGGCTTTGCTGGGTTCTCAGATATTACTATCAGGTACCTCAGATTTTCATCTCTGAATTTTCCTTTGTGCCTGCACCCTGTTTTGTTTCAGCCTGTTGCTCGTTGTGGAAAAGCAGTGGAGTTTTTTAAGATGTACAATAAACGCTTGGTACTCAGGGTTTGAGTGCATTTTCACCACCCCTGGAGGTGCTCAAGAAGCGACTGGACGTGGCACTCAGTGCTCTGGTCTAGTTGACAAGGTGGTGATGGGTCACAGGTTGGACTCCATGACCTTGGAGGTCTTTTCCAACCTCAGCAGTTCCCTAGTTCTGCTTCTCATGTGCAGTAAAGGCTCTTGTTGGTGTAGTAAGGACCGATGCCATTTTCCCTCTGCAATACAAAGCCGTGAATAATGACATTGCAGGTGACTAAAGGAGGGAACAAAGGACAAAGCCTGTGAAATGCCAGTAAGAATTGGAAAGGACCAGAGTTGTCAGTCTCCTGGTGGATTGTAATGATGTTCTATGAAGTGTGTTGTGATTGAAGTAATCTGTACCCGATTTAAATCTTTTGATAATTGAGATGTCAGATTGGCGAGAGATTAGTGGGAGTTGTGGGGTTTGTTGCACTGGTGGTTAATAAGGAGCTCCGTGCCCTGAAGGCAGAGTAAGTTGGCTGTGCTGTGTGACCTGGGAGCACAATGTGCTGCAGCTGATGGGGTTTGTCTGCCTCTGCAGGAATTGGTGGGTTTGACACAGTGCTGGGTTGATAGAACTGCACGTTTTCTGTGGGTGTCCAGCTGGGAGCTCACACCTGTCCAGCTGGGACAACACCTCACACATTGTGCACCTTAAAATAGGGTTTTTTCATCCCCCCCTTGGAACAAACTGTGGGAGTGTGTTCCCCTCCCTTCCCACTGCATCCATTGGTTGAGTTTGGGCTCTGGCTCATTTGTTGTGGTAGATGAAAATCATTGAGTTTAAGGTCTGCTGAGCTCTCCACCTCCTTGTGTGTGTGACCTGAGGCCTCCTTTTGCAAAGGACAGATGTCACCTGGACACCTTTATGGGTGGGAATTCCTGTGATCCTGCACACACTGAAGGCAAACCATGTTCTTGTTAACCATGGCAAGATATATCCTACAACTCTGTACATGCCCATCTGTCTGCAGGGGTATAAATGACTCTTCAGGTGAGCTGTAGAAATGTCCTTGCTGGGAAACTGCCTCACCTTCAGTGATACAATGCCACAGAACCATTCCAGTCTGTTGCATTTGGGATGGAGCAGCTGGCAAAATGCTGCCTGCTTGTGTGGAGATTAGATTAGGAAGTGGTTGGGGCTGGGGGAACTTCAGAATGGTTGGTTTGTTTTATTTCTTTCTTTGTACCATAATAAAAATTGATTCTAATAACTGCTGCTCGCTGTCCACGAAACTTGTGACAGGATGTGTTACCTGCCTTTCTGTTCTCACAAAAAGCTAATAATGCAGGGCATGTTCCACTAGTGGGAACATCTGTTTGGAGAGGGGAAAAAAAAAGGAAAAGAAAGAAAGCAATCCACCTGGCTTTTGAAACCTTCTGAAGCCATCTGAAGGATTGCATTGAATAATTATAGTCGCTGTAATTTTGTACCAAAAATATCACTGGAGGAGCCTCGTTGACATTTACTTGTTCAGAATTGGAAGTCAAAATAGTAGTGGGCTTTTGTTTCAAGTGGTGCTGCTAAGAAAAATAGCTGAGGAGGTGAAAACTTGACTTGGACCTCCCTGAGCCGCGTTTCCTTTACCAAGTGCAGGGTGTTCTGGCGCGTTTTGAGTTTGTTTTCTCCTTTTTGAGGACGCACTTTATATTCCCCAGCGTTCGAGCCAGGAGAGCGAGAGGGAAGGAGCAAAGTGCTGCTCCAAGTGTGTGTTAGTGCTGGTGCTGGAGAGAAAAGTAACAGCTGAAGCCAGAGTGCTTTCCAGCCTGCAGCAAGCACTGTTCACATTTTCACACCTTGTAGGGCATAGTATGGGGCCTCTGGCCCCACACCTCCCCCAGTTAGCAGTGGGATTTTGCTTTGAGAACCAGGAGTGCAAACTGTGTGCTGCCAGAAAAATGCTCCTTTCTGCCATGTTTTTCATCTCTGGTGACCGGGCTGCGTGATTTTTGATTTTTGTTAATTTTTCTGACGTGTCTGATTTTATTTATCTTGCTTCTCTCCCTTAGGGCTGTGCATCCTGGAACTGGTATTACCCCTTTCACTACGCTCCCTTTGCCTCTGACTTCGAGGGGATTGCAGACATGCCCTCAGATTTTGAGAAGGGCTCCAAACCGGTAGGGCTCCTTTATTTATTCCTCGAGTTTGTTGTTTATTTATTTAATCATTTGTGCTTTAACACCTCATTAGGAGTGTCCTACATCTGGCTTGTCTGTTTTCAACAGTTCAAGCCCCTCGAACAACTGATGGGAGTGTTTCCAGCTGCAAGTGGGAACTTCCTGCCCCCGACCTGGAGGAAGCTGATGACAGACCCGGTGAGAATCCTTGTTGTGTCCACTCTGTGAGGCTGGCTCACCTTGTAGGGGTGTGAACACCACCTCCTGCTGCTTCTTGCTTCAGGAACAAAAATGCTGGAGCCCAGGAGGTTTGTAGTAGGTTGCAAGGATTCTTAAAAAAAAAAAAAAA